TCATTAACTATCACTTATTTCAGGATGATGTTCAAATCTGTCTAGATCCATGACTTATTTATCCTGCTTTCTTCTGTCCATCTATATCTAAATGGTGATTTTCTAGGCTCCAATTCATGTTCAGTCCCAGACTCAACATCCCCAAAGCTTTTTGATTTCTTGATGGTATATCTCCCATTATCTTATCACCAAGGCTGCAAATCTTAGTGTTATCTTTGTGTGAAATAACACAAAGATTGTGTGATGAATTAAAAAATGCATTAATATAAGCATGTTCCCAATCTCTCTACCACCTGCTCATAAGAGAATGTTGTCTCTGATAGCTTGGCTAAGCCTGCCCTCTTAGGAGAGTTCTGCCTTTTTTGGACTGGTCCCTTAAGTTTCAAGATTCAAAATCAAGAGAATGGATAAACAAAGGTAAGACTGAAGAGGCAGAAGGAAGGGAAGAAAAGAACAAAAGACACGGGCCTCATGGGCTGAGGCTTTTGAGAGAGTTTCCAGGAAAAAAAAAAGGAAAGTAAGAGGTTAGAAGAGTGAGAAGCTCCAGAACTGTTGAGTTCTAAGTACTAAAGACAGAAAAGGGAAGTCTAAGAATTGTTCCTAAACTATGAATTGTATGCTTCTTAAAGTTCCTAGAGAACGGCAAGTAAAATTTTGAATTAGTTTTAAAATACTTTTGATTGTTAGACTTTTTTTTTTTAGTTCAGTGTTGCTTTGAGACTGAGTTATGTGGATGTACAGCTTATATTTGGATTACATACAACACCCCCTTCTTCTTCAGTTATCATATCAAAATGTTGCCAAACCCTATAATTTTTCCCCCTTCAGCCTTATCACCCTCTACTTCCCAACAACATCATAAACTCCAGCTAGACTTCCTACTTTTTCTCTAAGCATATCTCAAACTTTTTTCCTTTGGACTTTGGTTTATTTTGTTCCCTATACCCAGAATCACTGTCCATTTCCATCACTTGAAAATTCCTATGTGTCAAAGCCCAGCTTAGAGCCCACTTTCTTGAGGCCTTCCCTGCTGATGCTCCATGCATTCTACATCCCTTCCTGCCTTTGCAATTGTCCGTCACAACAATAACGATGATGATAATACCAATAGCTCACATTTATATGGAGTGTACTATGTCCGGGCACTGTTTCAAGTGCTTTGCACACATTATTTTATTTAATTCTTGCAATAACCCTGGGAGGTTGTACTGTGGGAACTCAAGACAGGAAGGTTAAGTGACTTCCCCATGATTACACAGCTATAATTGTCACAGACAGGATTTGCATCCAGGCTGCAGAGACCTCATCCTTTCTACAGTACACTTATACTTTAATATCTCAGTATATGCCTGAAATATCCTTGTCATTCCTCTAGGTCTGCAGGAAGTTTCCATTTATTACTGCTTCACATTTTGCAGTCCCCTCCCCCCCATTCAACACCAACAAATAAATGGTTGTGCTTCACTATCGTCAGATTTACATAGTCACTTAAGGGTTTGCACTGGCGTCCAAATAGAAGACATCAGCATGTGCATGATCAGGATTTTGACTTAGAGAGATCCACTTTAGGCTGAAGTCTTCAGGGACACTTAATCTAAGAGCAGGGAGCATATGTTTATAAATCTTACCTTTGAGTTTCATCTTCTTCCTCATAATATCTTTGACGTGTCAACTGTAAAGCAAACCACAGAGTGGCCATACTTGAGTGAGGCAAAGATTTAACGCTGCTGCTCTAGTTTAAGTGGCTATACCTAGAACTACAGTTGTGTTTTACCAGTCATTGTGAAGTACACACACAGTGATTTAATGCAGCTTGGTTTATGTTGAGATGCAGCTCTGTTCTAACTTCTTGGAGAGAGCAGTGGGGTTACTGTTAAAGGGCAATCCACTTGGTCAGGAATCGTTTTCAGGTGAACAAAACTATGGTTTGATTTGAGAACTACATAAATCAATTAGTTTTAATTCTGTAAAATACATAAGTAACTTTTAGGATAAAAGCATGCTGTAAAGTTTAAATGTAGGCTTCCACTTCTGGCCAAGATTGAATAACAAGGATTGGCTTACTCTCCTAGCTGAAACAACCAAATAAATTGGCAACATATGTGAAACAACAGTTTGAAAGACACTGGATAGCAGGCAAAAAAGGACAGTGGTCTCGAGAGATGTAATGAAGTAAGTGCTACAATTGCCATGGTTTACTGCCTTGAGAGAGTTTGCAAGCCACACCACAAAGAAAGGGAAACCTGGGTAGAACCAGACAAACTTCATGAGTTGAGAATACAGAGCAGAGTCTGGGGAGACCAAGGCTACTAGAACATTCCCGAGGTTTGCAGAGGGTTCCCACTGAAGTATTCAGCTAAGGACTGATTGGCACATGCACATAAGGAAACTACTGGAGGCCAGAAAAAAAAAAACCCAAAAAATTAGAGGTAACTGGCTGGGCACAGTAGCTCATGCCTATAATCCCACATCTTTGAGAGGCCAAGACAGGAGGATTGCTTGAGGGCAGGAGTTAGAGAGCAGCCTGGGCAACATAGCAAGACCCTGTCTCTACTAAAAATTTAAAAGTTGGCCAGGCATGGTGGATGCACCTGTAGTCCCAGCTACTCAGGAGGCTGAGGTAGGGGGATGGCCTGAGCCCAGGAGTTTAAAGCTGCAGTGAGCTATGAATGTACCACTGCACTCCAGCCTGGGTGACAGAGTGTGAACCTGTCAAAAGAGAAAGAGAGAAAGAAAGAAGGAAGGAAGGAAGGAAGAAATGAAGGAGGGAAAGAAGAAGCCAGACCCAGTGGCTCACACCTGTAATCCCAGCCCTTTGGGAGGCCAAAGCGGGCAGATCACCTGAGGTCAGGAGTTTGAGACAAGCCTGGCCAACATGGTGAAACCCTGTCTCCACTAAACATACAAAAATTAGTTGGGCATGGTGGTACAAGCCTGTAATCCCAGCTACTGGGAGGCTGAGGCAGGAGAATCACTTGAACCCAGGAGGCGGAGGTTGCAGTGAGCTGAGATAGTGCCACTGCACCCCAGCCTGGGCGACAGAGTGAGACTCAGTCTCAAAAAAAAAAAAAAGAAGAAAGAAAAAATAGAGATAATAGTGACAGTCACTCTCATAAGGCTAGGAATAGCATCTGTTCTCACCAGCCAGACTTGAAAACCTCAAGATTCATGGTGGGGTACATGAGAGTGTATATAAGGACGCTGCCTCAGTGGTAAGACCTAGTTAATTCTAGACCAAACACCACTCTGTCCTGTCTAACAAACCTTAAAAACAAGAGCCAAAAGGATCAAACTGTTTTCAAGTGATTTATCCAAATTCTGCAAGAAAGCTCCAGAGTATTATCGGAATACAGAAATAACCAGCACCAAACAAAAAATTTAAATGCCTGGAATCCAGTAAAAAATTGCCAGGCATCAAAATAGTAAGAAAGTATAATCTATAGCAAGGAGATTAAGCAATTGAAGCTGAAACAGAACAGATACAGATTTAGATTTAGCAGAGAAGGACATTAAAAATAGCTATAACTATTACATATGTTCCAAAAATTAAGTAGAGACATGGAAGATATATTCTCTTAAAAACAAAATACCATTTATTTATAATTATGTGGTTAGAAAGGACAAGTTTTTAAAATGGACTTTACTGAGGGACAACCAATATGTTACTTTTCCCAAAATTATTTTGGCATTATGTTAATAGACTTCTTGTTTATTGTAATATTTTGGCATTATGTTAATAGACTTCTTGTTTATTGTAATATTTTGGCATTATGTTAATAGACTTCTTGCTTATTGTAATATTTTGGCATTATGTTAATTGACTTCTTATTTATTATCTTGCTTATAATTTGTTATGGATTTTTTATTGTGGTAAAAAATGCATAAAATGTACCATTTTAAACATTTCTAAGTATATAATTCAGTAGTGTTAAATATATTCACATTGTCGTACAACCCATCTCCAAATCTTTTTCATCTTGCAAAACTGAAACCATTCGTTGAATAACAACTCTCCTTTTCTCCCTACCCCTGGTCCCTGGAAACCACCATTCTGCTTTGTTGTTATAAATGTGTTCTGTTTTTTGTTTTTGTTTTTTTTTTCTTTTGAGACAGTTTTGCTCATGTTGCCCAGGCTGAAGTGCAAGGGCGCGATCTCGGCTCACTACAACCTCCACCTCCCAGGTTCAAGTGATTCTCCTGCCTCAGCCTCCCCAGTAGGTGGGATTACAGAAGCATGCCACCACTCCCAGCTAATTTTTGTATTTTTAGTAGAGGCAGGGTTTCACCATGTTGGGCAGGCTGGTCTCAAACTCCTGACCTTAGGTGATTCGCCTGCCTCCGCCTCCCAAAGTGCTAGGATTACAGGCATAAGTCACATGCCCGGCCTGTTTTTATGAATTTGACTACACCAAATATCTCATATAAGTAGGCTCACACAGAATTTGTCTTTTTGTGACTGGCTTATTTCACCTAGCATAATGTCCTCAAGGTTCATCCATGCTGTAGCATGTATCAGAATTTCCTTCCTTTTTAAGGCTGAAAAATTTTCCATTGTGTGCATATACCACATTTTACCTATCCAGCAATGGACACGAGAGCTTCTACCTCTTGACTATTGTAAACAGTGCTGCTATTAACTGCGGAATGTGAATATCTCTTTTGATATTGCTTGACCTAGATTCTTTTGGATATATGTCCAGAGGAGGAATTACTATCGTATGGTAATTCTATTTTTAATTTCTAATAAACCACCATACTAGTTTTTACAGTGGCAACACCATTTTACATTCTCATCAATAGTAAACAAGCATTTCAATTTCTCCCATCCTCATCAGTACTTTTTTTTCTGTTTATTTAGGTCTTCTTATTAAAATTTACTTTCATTTTAGGTTCGGGGCACACGTGCAGCTCTGTTATATAGGTAAACTTAGGTCTTTCCGATAGTACCCATCCTCATGAATATGAGGTAATATCTCACTGTGTTTTTTGTTTGTTTATTTTTTTTTTTTTTTTTTTTTTTTCCAAATCAACAAACAGGTCTTTTATTGCATCATTTAAATATCACAAGTAGGTCTTAGGAGTCATCTGGCATCTTCTTTCTGTAGCTGGATAACTCTTAGATCTTATTCATCAGCCTGCTGAACAGTTCCTTTTTCAGAGACATAGATACCATCCAAAAATTTCCTGATATCCTTGTTTTTAACTGTTGTGGCTTGCTGAATCAAAGCCGCTGAATTTGAAACAAGTTCAATGTCATTTCCTTCAAGGATTAATTCATCTTTCTGGGCTTGAGATACTGAACAAGCAACACCTGGTCTCATCCGAACCCTGCGGATGTATTTTTCACCCAAGAAATTTCGGATTTCAACAAGAGACCCATTCTCCTGGATAACAACGTTGATGGGGAAGTGAGCATACACAGACCTCATCTTGTAACGGAAGCCCAGTGTAACACCCTTGATCATGTTCTGTACATGACTACAAATAGTCCGAACGGTAGCCAGTTCCTTTCTGTTACCCCACGATTTGTCAACCCGAAGCCTCTTTTTTTTTCTTTCCAAGAAGACTGAGTTCTACATTGATGTGATTGAAGTCCCTCCGCAGGATTCCTCTGGGGCCCTTCACGATAACTGTGCGTCCCTTCAGGGTAATGTCGACATTTTCTGGAATGTCGACAGTCTGATTGCTGAGAATGGTCTTCATTCTTGCAGTAGACGCAGCAAAAAAAGCTGTTTGTTTATTTTTGAGACAGAGTTTCGCTCTTGTTGTCCAGGCTGGAGTGCAATGGTGCAATCTCGGCTCACCAAACCTGGGAGGTGGCTCCAGGGTTCAAGCGATTCTCCTGCCTCAGCCTCCAAGTAGCTGGGATTACTAGTATGCACCACCACGCCTGGCGAATTTTGTATTATTTTTTTTTTTTAGTAGAGATGGGGTTTCTCCATGTTGGTCAGGCTGGTCTCAAACTCACGACCTCAGGTTATCCACCCGCCTCAGTTTCCCAAAATACTGGGATTATAGGTGTGAGCCACCATGCCGGGCCTCACTGTGTTTTTCATTTGCATCTCCCTAATAATTAGTGATGTTTAGTATCTTTTCATATGCTAATTGGCCATTTGTATATCATCTTTGGAGAAATGTCTATGCAACGTTTTGCCCATTTTTAAATTTTTTTGTTGTTCAGTTGTAGCAATATATATTTTTTAAAAATCTAAATCACATTTGTAGACATGAAAACAATATGTGAGATAAAAAATATGCTGGATGATATTAGTGGCAAATTAAACACAGCAAGCAAAGATTAGTGACACTAAAGATACAGTAACAGGACTGTCCAAAATGGAACAAAGAAAATATAGTATTTTTAAAACATCCCACCATTGGATCTAACAAAAAATAAAATTAAATAAATAAAAACAAAAACAGAGAATCAGTAATTTTTTTCTTTCTCTTTCTTTCTCCCTTTCTCTTTCTTTCTCTCTGTCTCTCTTTCTTTCTTTCTTTTTGATAGGGTTTTGCCCTGTCACCCAGGCAGGAGTGCTGTGGTACAATGATCATGGCTCAGTGCAACCTCAACCTCCTGAGCTCAAGTGATCCACCCACCTCAGCCCCCCAAGTAGCTGAGACTACAGGCACATGACACCACAGTTGGCTAATTTTTACATTTTTTGTAGTAATGGGGTTTTGCCATATTGCCCAGGCTGGTCTTAAACTCCTAGGCTTAAGTGATCCACCTGCTTCACTCAGCCTCCCAAAATGCTGGGATTATAGGCATGAGCCACTGCACCTGGCTAGCCTAAATAATATAGGCTATTTCTTTAAGTAGCCTAATATACACGTAATTGGAGTCCTCCAAGAAAAGGAATGGGAAGAGGGCCAAAAATATATTTTTCCAAACATTATGAAAATCCATAGATCCAAGAAGTTCAGTGAACCTCGAGTGTAAGGCAAATGAAAAATAACACCAAGGCACATCATAAACAAATTAGTCAAAACCAGTGATAAAAAGAAAATATTACAAGTAGCCAGAAAAAAGAAAGAAAGACACACTGCATACAGACAAACAAACATAGGTTGACAGATTTGGTTTTGGAAACAGTGCAAATGCTTCCTTGTGAGGAAGCAACATCATTAAAATATTGAAAGGACAAAAAAGTATCAGGCAAGAATTCTACACCCTGTGAAAATATCTTTCTAAAGTGAAAGCTGAAAGAATTCATCACCAGCAGGCTCATACTAAGAGAATTATTAAAATAAATCCTTCCAACAGAGGGATGATTATAACAAATAGAAATATGGATCTACACAAAGAAATATGAAAGTTGGAAATAGGTAAATATATGTCTTATTATGCTTCTTTAAGTCTCTTTGAAAGCCCAGTTATTGTCTAAACAAAATAACAATGTAGCATGGAGTTTGTGACATACGTAAAAGTAAAATGTACGACAGGAATTGCATGAAGGTCAAGAGGGGAGAAAGGAAAGAGTATTATTGTAAGGTTGTTATACTAAATATAAAGTGGAAAAATATGATTTGAAAGTAAACTGTGATATGTTAGACATGTATCTATAAACCCTAAAGCAACCTCTAAAATAAAACAGTTATAGATAATAAGGCAACAAAGAGATAAAATGGAATAAAAAAAATTAATCCAAAAGAAGGCAGAAAAGGAGGGAAGGGGTAGAAGAACAGATGGAATAAACAGCAAGATAATAGATTTACTGGTTCCCTCCCCCAATTTTCCCCATCGGTCAAGTCCTCAGAGCAAAAGATGATGGATTCAAACCTAGCTATATAAATAACAACATTAAATATAAATGGTCTACTACAATTCAAAATCAGAGATAGCTAGATTGGATTTTTTTCAAGCAAGAACCAACTGTGTGCTATCTATAAGAAATGTACTTCAAATCTAAAGACACATACGGGTTAAAAGTAAAGGGACAGGAAAAGATACTGCATGCCGACACTTAGCAAAGGAAACCTGGAGTTGCTATGTTAAGGCAGAGTTCAGAGCAAAGAGTTTATCAGGGATAAAGATGTCAAGCCATTTTATCAAAAGAACATAACAGTTAGGTGTAGTGGTTCATGCCTATAATCCCAGTACTGTGGGAGGCCAAGGCAGGAGGATCAACAGAGCCTAAAAGTTTGACACTAGATGAGATCTCAACAAAGCGAGATGCCATCTCTACAATAAATAAATAAATAAATAAATAAATAAATAAATAAATAAATAAATAATCAGCTGGATATGGTGGCATGTGCCTGTAGTCTCAGCTACTTGGGAGGCTGAGGCGGGAAGAGTGCCTGAGCCTGGGAGGTGGAGGGTGCAGTGAGCCATGATTGTGACACTGCACTCCAGCCTGGGCAACAGATTAAGACCCAGTCTCAAAAAAAGAAAAGAAAAAGAAAGAACATTACAATCTAAAACATTTAGGTGCCTAAGAACAGAACTTCAAAATACAGGAAGCAAAAACTGATAGAACTGCAAAAAGAAATGGACAAATCCACAGTTATAATCCACAGTTATAATTTGACCTTTAAATAAATACCCTTCTCTCAACAATTCATAAAACAAGTAGAAAGAAAATCAGGGTAGAGAAGAGTTAAACAACACAATCAGCCAACTTGACCTAATTGACATTTACAGAACATGTTATACAACATAAGCCGAGTCCACATTTTTGTTATGTGCACATGGAACTTTCACCAACATATAAATAAGATACTCGGCCACAAACTAATCTAAATACATTTAAAAGAATTCAAGACATAAAAGGTGTGTTCTCTAACCACAGTGAAATTAAGGTAGACACAGAAAACAAAGGTCTCTGGAAAATCCCCAAGTATTTGGAAATCAAATGGCAACTTCTAACTTACTCATGAATCAAATAAGAAATCAAAAGGGGGATTAGAAAATATTAATCCCCCTTTTAAGGGGGCTGGGTGAGGTGGCTCACGCCTGTAATCCCAGCACTTTGGGAGGCCGAGGCAGGTGGATCACCTGAGGTCAGGAGTTCGAGACCAGCCTGGGCAACATGGTGAAACCCTGCCTCTACTAAAAATACAAAAATTAGCTGGGTGTGGTTGTGCATGCCTGTAATTCCAGTTACTCAGGAGCCTGAGGCAGGAGAATTGCTTGAACCCCAGAGGTAGAGGTTGCAGTGAGCCAAGATTGCACCATTGTACTCCAGCCTATGCAACAGGGCAAGACTCTGTCTTAAAAAAAAAAAAGAAGAAGAAGAGAGAAGAAAGAAGAAGAAGAAGAAGAAGAAGAAGAAGAAGAAGAAGGAGGAGGAGGAGGAGGAGGAGGAGGAATAATATTAACTGAAAGAAAATGAAAATACAACATATCAAAATTTGTGGGATACTACTTGGGGGAATCTAATAGCGTTAAATGTCTATATTAGAAAACAAGAAAGCTCTCAAGTCAATGAACTGAATAATTGGTGGATCTCAGCTTCCACCTCAAAAAACTAGATAAAACAGAGCAAATTAAATCTAAAGTAAGCAGAAGGCTTGAAATAATAGAGATGAAATAGAAAAGAGAAAAATAGAAAAAAATCAATGAAACGAAAAGTTGATTCTTTGAAAATATCAATAAAATTGATAAAAGTCTAATCAGACTGATCAGGAAAAAAAAAATAAAAATTACTAATATAAGAAATGAGACAAGTGACCACTACAGATCCTAAACATATTAAAAGATAATGAAGGAATACTATGAAAAATCAATGCCAATAAATTTAACAAATTACATGAAATTGACAAATTATTTGAAGAACACAAACTACCAAAGCTCATTCAAAAGGATATTGATGCCTCAAATAGCCCTTTATCTATTAAAGAAATTGAATTTGTAATTAAAAACCTTTCCACAAAGAAAACTTCAGGCCCAGATGACCTCATTTGTTTGAGGTGAATTCTACCAAACATTTGAGGAAGAAATAATACTAAATCTACATTAACTCTTCTAGAAAATTGAAAAAGTAGGAATACTCCTCAACTCATTTGATGAGGCCAGCATTACCCTGATACTAAAACCAGATAAAGGCATTACAAAGAAACTACAGACCAATATCCCTTATGAACATAGGTGCAAAAATGCTAAACAAAATTTTGTCAAAATGCATCCAGCTATATATAGGATAATACTTCATGACCAAGTGGGGTTATCCCAGGAATATAAGGTTAGTTTAACACTTGAAAAATCAGTGTAATTCACCATATTAATTAAATTAAAAAGAAAAACTATATAGTCATCTCGACAAATGCAGAGAAATTATTAATGAAACCCAACATCCATTTCTGATTTTTTTTAAATTAACAAACTAGGAATAGTTCACAGCATCCTCAACCTGATTTTTTTTTTAATCTCTAAAAAATCTAGAGCTAATATACTTAACGATGAAAGACTGAATCATTTCTCCCTGTGATCAGGAACGTGATAATAATATGTACCCTTACTACTCCTATTCAACACTGTTCTGAGAATCTGGACAATGAAATAATAAAGAAAAGAAAATGAAAGCATCCAGTGGGGAACAAAGAAGTAAAACTCTCTCTATTCACAGGTGACATGATCGTCTGTGCAGAAAGTCTTAACAGAATTTACAAAAACTCCTAGAAAGAGTTCAGCAAGTTTGCATGATACAAGATCAATATGCAAAAAATAATGATATTTCCATACACTGGCAATGAACAATTGGAAACTGAAATTTAAAAAT